CCCCCCCCCCCCCCCCCGCGATGGAGGACAAGGACCGACGGAGGAAGCTGGAGGCCGGCAGAGCCAAGGTGGGCGCGCAGCGCCGGCCCGCGGGGGCATGTGGAGCTCGGACTCCTACGTTCTTTCCCCAGCTTCGGCGGAGCCACGGCGGGGGGGTGCACCGGACGCCTGGGTTCCCTTCCTGGATCTGCAGCGGAGAAGCTGAGGGACCGCGCGTGTTGGGGGGTGTCTGTGCCTCAGTTTACCCTTTTAAACGGCGGGGGTTTCCTGCCCCAAGTGGCTGGCGCGCGGCCTGGGGCAGGAGCCCCCCTCGGAGAGGTGTGAACAACCAAAGCTCCCGTGCAGGACAGGGGCAGAGGGCCGGTGCCCCTGGTCACAGCTTCCAGCTCTGAGCCCACCCCCCTGCCGTGGGGCCAGGCCAGGAGTGCAGGGTGCAACCCATGCATTAGATGCAGGAAGCTGAGGGGAGTCCCCGTGCACAGCACTGGCTATTTATGCTGGTCGGCTTTCAGTCTTCTATAAATAGGACAGCTGGGAAGGGTGGAAAAACGATTTGGAGACTGTGGGGATTAAGCCAGGCCGGTCTCAGCTAAATGTTGCTTGGGTAGGTGCCAAACCCACTGCGGTAGGTGCCACTAGGTCAAAATAGGTGGTGTGTGTGTGTGAAAATTGTGTGCGTTTCAAAATAGGGGTGTGTGTATATGTGTGAAAATAAGCGTGTGTGTCCGTGTGCCCTTCACGCTGGATTTCCCCTGGGAGTGCCGGCAGTACCTGCCCTGGGGAGCCTTCTGCTCTGGGGGTGGAACTTCTGTTCCTTCAAAACCTCAGCCGATTCCCTTGACTTGCAATCTGCTGCTGTGGTTTTAACATTTCAATCTGTCGTGGAGGTTCTGTACTATCTATGTTAGCAAATAACTATTTCTTTTCACCAAAGTATTGAGAAGTCAGACTGAGTTGTGACTGGCAGTGAGTTCCAGCTTAGAAGTAGTGGTCCAACTGCCAACATATGAGTTGCGTAGTGTGCTGCTTTGGTGACTGATAAACGCTGGGGGGGTATATCAGTCATTGTAGAGATACAGGTAAACCCCACTTAGCGCTCTTAATCGGTTCCCCCCCCCTCCCAAAAAGTGTTAAGTGGAATAGCATTAAGCGAAACCAATTTTCCCTGCTGCCAGCTGTATGATGCCAGTGAGCATTATAATGAGACTTGCTGAGTGCTAAGTGGAATTGGGTATCAATGTACAATAAGTGTTATAACAAAATAGTGTTAAGTGAAACAGCGTTGAGCGGGGGTTGCCTGTACTCATTTCCCCCATTGAGTAGGGGGACGCTTGATACTTGAGTGCACAGAATGATGAAAAATTTTCCCAGTTATCTGTTATTACATTTGTAAGTTCTGATATGGCAAACACTTCAGACTGTCATTAACCTGTGGAAATGTATAGTCCTGTAGTGTTCAGGGATCCACCTGTGCACATACATTTTCAGTATCAATACCTGAAAGTATTCACTTTCTCACTTGTACTGTCTTCTCTGTCTTGTACCTTGCTGAGCATATTGTTAGTACACTGTACTTAGTCTGTGTAAGTATAGGGTTTTAGCATGGTTCTGCCTGCCCTCGCACAGAATGTGCACTATATGCAATGTATATGATGAATGCATGTTAAGCATGCTGCCCAGTCAGAGATGCAGTATTAGCAGCCTCAAAACTGCCTAGCTGTCTCTTTTCAAGATTTCTAATAGCCCAGCAGTGACTACTAGAGGCCTTGTACATGAGGGGAGGTAGGCATGAAGCAGATGAGCTCCCAGTCATTTTCAAGTCTTCCAACAGCAGTCCTTTGACAGCTTCATTCTTTTCACTTTTTCTAGTGCGCTTTACCTGGAGTACAGTTAAGTGAGGTTGAAAGCTGCTGTGCACTCAAATGGTTTATACTAGTTGTACCCAGCCTTTTATGCCAGCTGGCCGGACTGGCAGTGCCAGTCTGTCCATGGGTGGGATCCAGCTGGTGTTCCCAGTCCAGTGCCCCAGTTAGGCATGGTGGAAACCACCTGGTCATGCAAAGCAGGGCAGGGTGGCCCCAATGCAGCCCCATAATGGAAAGGAAGGAGCTTGACCCAGCCCCATGGAAAGAGAAGGGGGCATGGCCAGGCCCCAACCTGGCCACATAGAAGGAAGGGAGTGAGGCCCAGCCCTAAGCAGGGGGAGGGGTTGTGGCCAGGCCCCAATGGGAGGAAGGGGGCATGGCTGGGCCCTGATCCAAAAGTGGTCCCTGGTGAATCCTGTGGGCTATGGCTCTGCATGCTAAATTGGGTACATGATCCTGCTGAGGAGCCTGATCCTGCTGAGGAGGGGCAGCATGGGGTCTGAGCTGGGTGCACAGTGGTGACTCTTTGCAACTCATCTGGCCTATAGGGCCAAAAGGTTGAGTGCCACTGGTTTATACGCTTACCTAATATGCAGATAATCAACATTTTTTGCAATGTAAGCGATAAGTAAAAACTGGAACTGGCTTTGTGTTATGATGTTAAGTGAATTATGCACTTACCTAGTTGGCATGTCAGTGGACTATGCTGTTAATGTAAGGTAACTGTAGAAGAAGTACTACTGTACTTTCATTATATCAGTTTTGGTAGTGTAAAATGTATTGGATATGATGTACCATGTATATCTAGTATTTTTGTTTCATCGACTGTCTGGTTTCTAGGTAGGAAAATGGCATAATCTTGTAATAATACAGGGAGATAGCATGATCAATTGGATAAGTTGCTGAATTTGGCATTTGTGTAATATGGGCTGTCTTCCCATGTAGTTTGTAACCTGAAACTGGTCTAATGTTAGCATATTTGATGCAGTGTGATTGTAGCACCTTAACCAGCTGAAATGTGAAGTTGTAATATTACAGTTTTAACGTTATATTTGAGGGTGTTATTTTGACAAAAGTTCATATTTAGTGACTTTATATTTTTTGTTTTCTACAAAGGGAAAAAAATAGTCATTCTTGTTCCTTAGCATCACTTTCTAACTCATGATGCAAACCTCATAATGGATTATATGGTAATACTCAGTAGAAAACTGGTAGCAAAATATTGTTGTAATCTCCCTAGTGTTAAATAATCCAAAAGTGAAGCATCTGATTATAGTAAGAAAAATATGATATTCATGTTTCAAACGAAGCAGTAGTTCTCACCTGTTGTACAGCTGCTGTTTGCCATCTGCAGAAGAATAGGAATTTTAAAGCTCAGTGCATGCTGTCAGTGTTGTATCTTGGTTTGGCTTAGTTTAATTCTGTCAAATGTTTAATTTTTGTGGACTGAAAGGTTACACTATACAATCCCAAATTCAAAGATTGCTACATAAAAATCAGATTGGCTGTTATAGCTCTACTCCCTAAAGTTGGATAGCATATTTGTCTTCCATATCTTAGTACTTTTCTTTTAATGAAACTTATTATCCAGATTCTGCCCTTTATGAACCTAAACTATATTAATTCCTAATTTTTGTAGTTCTGATAGGGGCCTTAATTCTGTAAGTTGTTCTGCAGCCATCACTAGTGACTTCAGTGACAGTGGGAGAGGTCCTGTGTGTGGCATGGATCCTGGACCAGCAGGACCAGAAAGCCTGGGACTGTACCATATGTGGCACCTATCCTCTGCCCTCCACTCTCTGGTCCAAGACTGTGCCTTGGGGCAAGGAGGGCAGCATGCATCATGGGCACTGGATTGGGAATGGGGGAGGAAGTGCAGGGAGGGCCTGTGAGCCAGATTCAGCTTGTGGGCTGGCCCCATGCCACTGATTTGGCCCCATGGGGCCAGCTGAATGATATCCATGCATTCATTCACTCTGTGTCGGTCAGTATAGCTCCCTGTTTTAAAGAAGATATGTATAGTTCATTTAAACAATTTTTTCCTTAAAACAGTTATTTATTTACATGGCCTTCATTGTAAGGACTGGCTAGTTAGAATGTGGAGTAAACTTAGTTTGTCTTACTCTTCAGTTTACTTATGTAACCCTGGGTGGTATTCATATAAGTACCCCCTCTTCAAATGAAGGGATGGTAGCAGGTGCTGGTGTGCTGTGGGAGGTGAAACTTTCTGCTGTGCGCAGTTTCCCTCCTTTCCCTATCGAGCAAGGCCAGGACAACAGGATAAACTTAACTATGTACCAATTTAATAAGATATAAAAAATATAATATTAACGCACACACATAATACAAGAACTATAGGCAATATATAGTATATATCTATACAAACACTATAGACAGATAAGGGATCAGGGAGTCAAAATGGGGGGTCTCATTAAATGTTATGTAGTCTTATACTCTTATAGGGTGCAAAGTTCACAAAGCATATGATGCAGGGCTCACACAATGTGAGGTGCATTGTTCACAAAATATGAGGCACAGAGTCTAGGGGAGAACGGACAAGGCAATAAGCTGCGTTAAAGCAACGTCAACGCCCTGGGGAAGGACGGCCCGAGATGGGGGGGAATGGGAGCCCTAATTTCCCAACTGCACCCCTTGATCCACTCAAATAACCCAGCTAGCTGGGCCTCAGAGACCCCTCTTTCCCTTAGGGGTCTCCTCCCAGCTGTTTGCCACTGAGTAGGAGGGCCCTCCTCCCCTGTGGGAATCCCTGGCAACTCATGACTCTCCAGGGCCTGATGAGGCTGCACTCATTTCTCCTGGCGAGATATCTCCTTCCTTGGCAGGGGGTTCTTAACTGTTCAAGGTTCTCCCACCCTTTGGCCCTCTCTTGACCCTGTGCACCATCTCGTGCACCGGTGGCCCTTCTCACCCTGTGCACCGCTAGCCCCTGCCTCATGCAAAGGGGGAAGGGGTTGGAGACTCGCGCCGCCTGGCACAGTGCCTGGGGTCTTGGTCTGCTCCTGGACCCTCCGTGTACTGACCTGTACGCCACCTGCCTAGCCTTGTGCCAGGGTTAGAGACCCGAGCTGATGTGCAGCTCCAAGGTCTTGGTCCATTCTCGGATCCTCTGTGTACCACCCTGTACAACGTGTGCCCAGCCTGTGCTGGGGTTGGAGACCTGAGCCGCCATGTGCAGCTCTGGG